ACTGAGAGGGAATTGCTCTTTAGGAATATAAGGAAACCACACAAAGGCTTCCTGACACTGCTGCAGCATTCAGCCCCACTGAGCAGTGAAATGTGGGAGCTTCACTCTAATCGATCTTCTTTCTAAGCTCTATGCGCTTCTTAGCAGTTAGTTTCACAGTAGAACCAATCTGGTAGTGTCTAACATAGATCCAAGTTACACCTGATCCTGACAGCTGGACATGTAAAAAAATAAAAAAAAAAACATGTGAAGAGCCGCAGCTAAAAAGGAAACCATGACGTAAGCCTGGAGGAATGGAGGTGGTGGTGGTAGGGAGGGGGGGGTGTCTATTTTATTGAAGTTAAAGAGGTGAGAAACAAACAACCTGAGTGAAATGGGAGGAGCAGAAGTTGACTTCCTAAATAACAGCCAGGTTCCTCCGCGCGCTCAGCTTCCTGGACTTCCTGAAGTCCCAAAGACTCGGACTGTGCTGAGCTGCTGTCCCCCAGCTCTACACCTCCTGGATGGAAACGGACCGGCTGCTGAGCCGGCCTGAGGAGGACGGACACACCGGGGACTATGGCTCCGGGCCCGGAAGGAGCCGCGGAGGTTCGCGGGCCAGCAGGCGGATGTCCTACTCTGCTGCCGAGGACTGCTGCCGTTTGGACGGAGGTACGGGACGGGACAGCTGGGGGACAGCAGAGGGACAGGACGGGACAGCAGGGGGACTTATTGCAGCGACATTAACAGGTTATTACAGGAGTAAAGCTGCAGGGAAACTTCAGAAAGTTTGTCCTGCTTTGGTTCCAGAAGTCACCCGATGGGACAGACTTTGTGCCCGCTGTCCCCTCATGAAGTCCCTCATACTGTCCCCTCATGCTCTCTCCACAGCCCTGTCTTCTATCCCTCTGTGTATATCTGTCCTCCTGGTCCTCTGTGTGGATCTGTCCTCTTTGTGGACCTGTCCTCCTGGTCCTCTGTGTGGATCTGTCCTCCTGGTCCTCTGTGTGGATCTGTCCTCTTTGTGGACCTGTCCTCCTGGTCCTCTGTGTGGACCTGTCCTCCTGGTCCTCTGTGTGGATCTGTCCTCCTGGTCCTCTGTGTGGATCTATCCTCTTTATGGACCTGTCCTCCTGGTCCTCTGTGTGGATCTGTCCTCCTGGTCCTCTGTGTGGCT